TTACTGATGTAGTACACTGGTGATTGTTGAGTCTCTTCTACTCAGACAAGGATTGCACTGATTGCGGCAGTGCTGACTCTTAAGTACAACTACAAAATCTCATCGGGAATCAGTTTTTGCAAGGTTGGAGGTTGCACGAGTACTTCCTTGATGCTAATGAGAGCCTTTTGACATTCTTCGGTCCACTCAAAATGTTTACCTTTTTTAATTGTTTTGAAGAACGGTTTGCAACGATCGTTTGACTTCAAAATAAATCGATTAAGAGCAGCAAGTCAGCCGATCAAGGCTTGAATGCCTTTGACCAATGTGGGTGGAGTTAAGTCTTGGATAAATTTAATTTTTGCGGGATTGGCTTCAATACTAGTTGGCTAACCATATACCCAAAGGAATTTTTCGAACCCGACTCCAAACGTGCATTTCTTCGGGTTCAGCACCATCGAATAATCATGAAGAATATTAAACATCTCCTATAGGTGTCTGACGTGGTCGATGGCATTCACAGATTTGACAAGCATGTCATCCACGTAGACCTCCATGGTTTGTCAAATTAGATTGGAAAACATCTTGTTGACTAATCGTTGGTAAGTGGCCCTGACATTCTTTAGGCCGAAAGGAATCATTGTGTAGCAATACATGCCCCGAGCTGAACAACAAGAAGTATGTTCGGCTTCCTCGGGGTCCATCGGGATTTGATTATAACCCGAATAGGCATTCATAAAACTCATCAATTGTGCCCAGAAGTGGCGTCTGCCATGTAATCGATATGCGGCAAAGGGTAGCTATCTTTAAGACAGGCTTTATTCAAGTTGGAAAAATCGATACATAGGCGCCAGCCGCACCACAAGACGTTGTTTTTTTTTACGAGGACGGGGTTTGATACCCATGTTGGGTATTTGGTCTCTTTAATGAATTTGTTGATGAGCTTTTTAACTTCCTCTTCCAAAGCTTTCTGTCGGTCTGGCCCTAGTTTTCTTCACTTCTGCATGACTAGTTTAATAGTTCGGTCGAGGTTAAGTTTAAGACTGGCTACTTTTGGATCAATTCCTTTCATATCTTCGTGTTTCCAAGCAAAGACATCAGACTTTTCTTGAAGAAATCTGATGAGTTAAGTTCAGGCAGGTTCCCCGAGGTTTCTGCCAATACGTAACAGTTTCTAGCATGTCGGTTCATCTACGTAGATCAACTCTATTTCGTTGCCTGGTTATGCTCGATCACTTCTACTTTTCTCCATAAACAGTGTTTGAGGATCTAGTTCATCCTCCTCCCGGATTGGTTCTTTACCGGGTCACTTTCCTCGATCTTGATCTGAACTTTCTTCTTTGGAAGGATCTGGGGTTAATGAGACCTCAGGTGCTTAGTTTTTGACCTAGGTCGTTTCATCTTTCGAGCTCTTAGGTAAGTCTTGTACATCGTTAGTTGACATTATCATTTGAATTTCGTTGGTAGAAATAGTTGAGAAAAGTTCTCGTGCCTCCCTTTGATCACCGTAGTGCCTTCTCTATCTGCTGTAAAAAATTTAACAGCATAATAGAATATTGAGATGGCGGCTCAGAGCTTATAAAGAGCAGTTCTTCCGATGATAGCATTGTATTCATTCTTGAGATCCATGACTTTGAAAGTTTCAATAACAACCTTTGATGCGCATCCTGGACTTTTGAAACGTATAGGTAGAGTAATCTCGCCGAGAGGACATGAAACACTTCTATTAAATCCCTGATTCAGTCGTTACATGGTCTAATCTCGGCTGGGTTAATGCCCATTTTTTCAAAGGCTCTAAACATTAGGATACTCGAGTAGGCCCTCGTGTCTAGCATAATTCTGTGTACCGGAAGGCCACAAATGGGAGCAGTAATAATCAAAGCGTCAGAATGTGGATGGGCAAAGAGGCTTGCGTCCTCTGCACTAAACGTGACTGGAAATTTTGTGCATTGATCGTATCTCTGAGGTTGGTGGTAAGAATCTGTTTCCCCGAGTTGTAAGCTTGTCGAGCATAGGCCTTGGCTTGGCGTCGGGAAAAAAAGGACTTTCCTATTGTTCGCACTTACTCGTGGAATAAAACCATGTTGAGGACTGGGCGACCAATCTCTTTTTGTCCTCATGCCTTCTATAAACGCTGTTGATGCATCCGAGGTAAGAGTAAACACTTCCTTATATCCTTGTCGGATTCTTTTCGAGTTGACACCTCGGTCATCATCATCATCATCCTCAAAAGTCTCTACCGGACGTCCATGTCTTTGGATATCTAGATTCTTTGAAAACATTCGAAGATGAGGATGGCCAATCAACCTCAGCAAAGCAGTGAGTAAACTTAGACATTTATCAGTGTTGTGTCCGGGGGATTTATGATAGTGCCAATATCGATACGTATCGAGCTTGTCCTCAGGTGCCTTGACTGGTCTTGGTTCAAGTAAAATTCCCTTTCCTTTTATTTCCTCATAAATGGTGGCAGCCCCAGCCCTCCAAAAAGCTTTTTATTTTTCGTTTTTCCTTCCGCCCTTGACTTAGGCTCCTTTGGTGCGAAGTTAAAGTCGGTGACTGACATATACTCCTGGAAGATAATATGTTGCTGGGCTCGGGCGAGGAATTCTTGGAATGTATTTGGTTTATTCTGACAAAGGGTCCAACGAAACAGAGAATCAATTTTAATTCTGCAACTGTTGTGATTAGCAACGTTTCAGGGTGACAAGGTTCCATATTCTGAACTCGGTCATTAAACCGTGTTATGTAGTCTTTGATGCTTTCATCTTCCTTTTGGGTTAAATTAGTAATAGATTCCTTCTGGATCAAACAAACTTGGGCCCCAATAAAATGAGATCGAAAAGTTGACCTTAATTGCTGGCATTTCCATATGGAGTGATGTGGCAACGAGTGATACCACTTCTGAGCTCAGGGCCCCAAAGTAAGGGAAAAAAACATACGACATCGCAAAGCGTCCGATGCGCCATGATCCATCCAGAAAGTATAATGACCGAGGTGCGCATCAAGATTCGAGGTCCCATCATAAAGAACAATTTGTGGAACCTAGATTTTTTCCAGGCAATGGCTCCGACATGAGTTCAGGCGCCAAAGGCGAGTCAGCTTCTAGATACACGTGGGACGACGTAGATGCTCGGCGAGGAGAATTCTCTTGAGTCTTCTGCCGAGTTTCCAACTCGGCAATCTTTTTATGCAGCATCTTTAATTTGGTGGAATTCTACCGGGCTGAACAATTACCTTTCTATCTGTTGGCGCAAATCCACTTACACTAGTAGGGACTTCGCCGGGGGTCGTACAACTGAGGGAGGTCTCTGGCGATGCCCGGATTGACTTTCTGCCGTCATTTCTCAAATAGTGGCTGGAAGAACAGTGGCAGGTTCTGGTTCGGATATCGCTCTCTCCCTATGCGGTTGAGGTGTTCAATTCCACGGTTGCGACGTTGCGTGTGAGGTAGCTTCTTCTCCTCCGCGTCTTTGCTCCACCGCTCGTGGATTTGCAGGTGTCACCAGTGCAACTGACTGTCCCGGAACCATTACAGATGTCCTGTGCATGGTTTGTGCCATTAGAGTCGAGAAACCTTTTATGCATTCTGGATTTTGAAACAGAGTGGCGAAGTCGGGTATAGTTGGTATCGTCGTGGTTCGTCCTGCGGATTAAGCAGCGCCGCGACTATGGCCATCTCTAGAGATTTGATCACGTTGTTCGGACTGAGACATGACACCTTTGTTGGTTCGCACGTGGTTGGAAAATATTATGTCGAAGATTAACCTCAAGTAACTTATGAGTCCCTTTCTCTAGCGCCAAACTGTTGTTATACGATTTCTAACAACGTAATTATCAAGTATTGGAATGTAAAACACAAATACATAGATAATCTATAATTTTAATAATATTCTGGAAGTCGATTTTTCTTGTGAACCGAGTAGGGTTTAGTACATTGTAGCTGCAAATGTTCAGAATTCGATCCTTGTACGAGGGATAAATTCAGCTATTTATAGTATTCTTTTGGGTACGCCTTTCGAGGCGTGTACGACTGCTTTAATGCAAAAGCATCTTTAAGGAGGTGGTTATGACAGTTGGGCCCACCAGAATGATGACGTTATGTGTGGTGAGCGAAGGTCCCTCGTAGGTGCGTTGTCACCTGCTTTGGTTTTTCGTGACCTCGGTTTAGGTCGAGTTTAGTGTTCAAGTTGATAAGTCAATAAAGCGTTTATGACTTCGGTTCAGCAACGTAAACTGGTTTCTTTGTACAATCAAGTCGGCGTCGACCTCCGATTCAATCCGAGTTGCGGTAAGTCGATCGCTTACGTGCTTAACATGTGATTAAGGCGTGAGAATTTGATTTTGGATCGTTGATGTTACCTATTACCAGGTCGGTAGTCAACAAATACTGCTATTTGGACCTTACTTATATAGGTAGGATCAACTATTAGTAAACGACAAATGACAATTAGATCGAGCAGTTAATCAAATTCCCTTCACTAATATTTGTTTGTGGTGATAATGACTCACCACCCAATCAAATAAAAAAAAGTTGTGTACAAAGAAGTATTAAATAATTATGAATTTTTGAATTTTTCTGACCCGTTTGCATTTGTTACATATATACCATGTCCATTAAATTTAATATTCAATATTAAAAAAATTTCAGAATAATATATCATCTTGTGCATCGCACGGGCCTCGACTAGTTGTAGTTTGAACAAGCATTGAACTTACAGTTTCACACAATTTATTTTTATTTGATATCATATTTACTAAAACTATATTTGATCTTGCTATACCCTTCTCTTGTTGTTGAAAAATTCGTTTCCACTTCCCATTATCATCTTTAGCATTATATATAACTAGATTTGATCTTGTAATAGGTTATCAAAGTAGTGACATTAAACATTAAATACTCCAAAACATAATTAGAAAGGTCTCATAGCATAAATACTAAAACACGAGCTCGAATTCAAATGTTTAGACTTTAGACTGACATATCCATGCGTACATAACCAAATAGCTACCAATAAGCAAAATTAATAAAATGCATAAATGTCCATATCTGGCATGTCCATATACATGATGGGATATGGATATGGATAGTTGTTGTAGCACCATGGTGCTAGCTGCTTGTTTGCTGGAAAATGATAGTTATACTCATAAACCGGCGACATATTTGGGCCATCTTGATAGTAATCTGGAGCGTCGGTTATGTTATCTTCTTGATCATTCAAGTTGTGTTTATTGTCTTTTAAGTCACTATCCAACTCCCATCTGGGAGTGTTGTTCTGATCAGATAAATCAAGACCGTCCATCGGGCTGTGCTGTTCGTTCAGGTATGGCTCGGTTTTGGTCCACAACTCCGCATGTTTACCGGACTTGGCCAATTTCTCTATCAGCAGCTTTGTGCTCTTCACTTTTCCCGCTACCGTCACCTTGTGCTGTTCCGCTTCTATTTTCACCTCATACACACCTATATATAAGGGACATGCATATTTTTCCAAATCATTCACATTAATTTATTTTTAGTCTTGAGATATACGAGATATGCGAGACACTATATTTTGTTATAGTTGAGAAATATCTATTCAAGAATTGCAAATAAACCTGAAAAAAGGACCGACAAGAAAGTCATGTGACTGGGCAAAAATAAAACATACCTTCGACTTTTCGAAGAAGTTTTTTCACCTTGAGCATGCAGCCTTGACAGTGAATATGGACCTTCAGGACGTGCGTCTGTGAAACCAAACAATATCGTGTTATCGATCGAATTCTCGTTATAATTCGTATAGTAAAAAGATGAGAAAAAATAAGAAAGGTACGGAAAGAGCTAAATTAATGTTTATTAAGAACCTTAATCTTGACGAAGGTGAATGTCTTCTCCTCATCCTTGCCCATTTTCCACATGTTTGTTTGGTTCTGTTTCACTTAATTTTTTCGGTAATGCCAATTGCCAAGAAATGGGGAATTGTTTCCCAACTGCGTTTCCTTTTCCTTTTTCCTCTTTGTTTTCTATGGTTATATGTAATAATGTATATATAGTTTGCTATGGAATATTTCAGACAGGCAAGTTAACATGCAGCAGTGGTTGTGTAGTAAAGTATATAGGTCCTCAAGTACAATCAGAATAGGTCTGCCAATGTTTTCCAGATAGGACAAATTAAGGGGATGGCGATAAAAGTGTGATATGAGACTCGGACTATGGCCTCTCAAATTTTAAACTAATTTCTTCTTTTTTATTTGAAAATTGTATAAATATATATATATAGGGGTTGGTTCCAATGCATCTACATTTTAAAAGTGAGGACGCGAGACTCATTTTTAGCCACAAGATTTGGTACATTATGTGTGGCCAAGATTTACTCTTTTTTATTTATTATTTAAATATTTAAATATTATTTTAACTCGTTGACTCCGGCGTTGACCGTTGACTTCCGGCATTGACTTACGGCGTAATCCGTTGACTTTTGGCGTTGACTGTTGACTTCCGGCGTTGGCTCTAGCCTTGACCATTAACAACTAACCTTCTAACTAGGTTAATTCTCTGTAGTTGTTAGGTTTTTTTTTTTTTTTTTTTACAACGGCCCGGGGGCGGGGGATTGGGCTGGATCCCCAACCTGTATATAGATCAAGACCCCAAGAAGGGCCCAAATATCAACCACAAACAATCAACATAGTCTCACAATCAAAAGGACAACAAAAACAGAAAAGGAAAAGGAAAGAAAATACTACAAGGTCTGTCATCGGGCTAACAGGTGCCCGAAATAAATGTATGATCAAAGAAGGAACAATGAAATCTACTAAAACCGAAAAGATGGATATCCAAGCTGGTCCATCCGTATCAGCGTGCGAAGACGAAGTGGAGCAATGATGTCGGTCTGGTACGTGTGTAGGTCTGGTGTGGTGGCGCCAAGGCTGGCAAGGTAGTCAGCAGGCCTGTTCCCCTCACGGAAAATGTGCGTAATCCTGTGATGGACAGACCGTAGGAGAGCTCTAATGCGCATAAGCGGGTGCTGAATCTGCCACGAGCCCTGGTGGCCCGAGGTCAGGATGGTGACGACCGCCGCAGCGTCCAACTCGATCCAAATATGACTAGAGAGGTGGGCAGCGAGCTGAAGGCCAATCTGTAGAGCCTGAATCTCTGCATCGTAGCTCGAGGAGGCCTGAAGGGACGTGTGGAAGGCGGTGATGAGAGCGCCGCTGTGGTCCCGAATCAAACCTCCTCCTTCGGCAACTCCGGTCTGGCGATCAAAAGAGCCATAAGTGTTCAGCTTGACCCAAGGGGAGTCGGGTCGAAGCCAAATGACAGCTCTGGGTCGAGGAGGTCGAACAGGCGCAGGGGGAGCTACCAAGTAGCGGTGTGGTGCCGTGCAGCCTGTCCAGTCTCTGGCAGTGAACCTGCCCAATGATGTGAGGAGTGAAAGATATCTCTGTACC